CCCATCATACCAAAAGACTAATATATAAATGAAGAATATTTTTTTCGACAAATTCTCTTCAGGTTCCACAATTATATATCCAAATTAATAATCCGAAAAATGACCAGGTTAAGGGTAAAGTACATCGTTTAAAACATGTGAATTTAGGATTGTTAAGCAAAATAGAATAAAATTTTTAATGTTGGTATGACTCTATAGAATGTTTACTTGAATCAGTGTATATGTTAAATGGGATTTTAGGATCCGTGATCCGAATAAATGTGAGTAAGATATGGTGAGAAAAAAGTAGTGCAATTACAAATTTGACCAAGCGTTTGGTGGAAGGACTATAATGTGTAAAATAATTGGTAAGACATAGTAAGGCGGGATAAATGCGATGTGAATGAATCATGTATTCGGGAGGTTAATAATAGTGTTAAACCAATAATAATAATACAAAAATATATAAATAAAGACAACAGAGACAATTCTATTTGACTGCGAAAGTTTGTAAGTACCCTAGTCAAATTGTCGTTCAATAGCTAAGATTGCTATTGATTAATTGTCCTTGAGGTTGGCCAAGTGAAGAGAAGTGGTTGAAGATATTTCTTCTGTACACATAGCTCAGGTTTCTCGGTCCTGATGGCTACTGCTTCAGTCGTTTGAAGGACTTTGAGTCTAGCAAGCTTTGGCAAAATCTTGATGACCCGATAAGTAGCTGAAAATGATTGGTTTATACTAGCACTATGACCAGTTTGCACTAAATGAGCCAACATCGAGTTGTTTACTTTCTTCACTAGACCGTCGTTAAGCAACACTGAGAGGTTTTCGCAAGCACGAAAATGTAAATCCCTAAAACTTCGACCAATATAACTTGCTCCACAAGAGCACTCGAAGTGATAATTACAAAATGAAGTGGTCATTCTAGGTAACTCATCTTTTAGCCTCGGTATCACAAGTGGGCGCGTAGAAAACACTAATCGTAGTTTTTTTTATTTATTTGAACACACAAATATATATGCGCCACACAAAACAATGAGAATGGGAAGAGGAAAAGGTAAGGAGCGTATAAGAAAAAAAAGCAATAGCGACTACAGATTAGTGTAATGTACTAATAATAATGGGGGAAACGGAAGGTACAATAAGAATTCTTTCAGTTAGGGAAGATACAACCACATTTTATGAAGAAATAAAAAGAAAGTTACAGCACGATCGCCTCTGGCTTCTATTCTGAGCCATATCTGACAACGTCTCTAGCCACTGTGTTGCACCATCTCTCGGACCCCAGCCAAGGAGTTGTGAAGGACCAACAGAAGCCAGCCCTTTGCAGCTTTCTTTCATACACTGACCACCTTTCCGCTTTTTCCAACCAGTCCCAGAGTCGGCAAATAATGCACGACGTGGAATTCTCTGGGACGACATTCGTAGAACATGTCCAAGCCACCGAATTCGGTGTTTCAAGTTGGTGATACCGATTGGATTATCGTCTCTCTGCCCGAACACACGATGTCGAACCTCTGCATTACTAACATGGTGTTACCACTGGAGCCCCCAAATGCCTTGGTACGGCCGAGAGTGCGGAGAGTCTGCTCTCCCTCTCGAAATGCTCTCACATGGCCACGCGTATATAGCCTCTGCCAGGGAAGTCCTACTCACTGCCTTCTCGTGACAGCGGTGTTGTTTACGAAAATGAGAGGACGAAAAGCGAATGTCCGGCGCTTTAACCGGATTCCAAACCAATGGTGCACATGGGCTCCAGTAACCTGTGGGAACAAATGGCGTATGAACCAATTGTTGGTCACCGGCTTCCATGGGACTGCATCTCCTTACGATGCTCCACTGCCTTGTGGATCAGACCTTCAGGTCGAAGGCTCGGGGTGTGGCCCCCTAAAAAAACTACCTTCTTCGGTCTGGGCACCCGGGTTAGTATCACAGCCCGCACACCAATAAAATGAAAATGACGAATCGTAGTTCTCTGTTCTTACAGACATATCAGTCCAGGTTGACATGGTAGGCGTTTAAGCAGTGATTTGATTGGTTAGTTATTGACATAATAATTCTTATTTTTTCACGAAACGTCGAAAACTAGTAACTAAGGTAAACAAGCTATGCAAATAAATAACTCAAGTTGATTGCTAATAATAGTTATGAATAAATTATTTCGATAATTAATAGTTTTTAAGCCACTACAAATAGTTTTAATTATACACTTTAGTGTGGTCCGGGAATGGTATCATTTAAAACCTATCCCTCCATTATTTTCTGGTAGTAGACATTGGTCGTTTAACCACTTATCCCTGGAATTTGTCCCTTTTTATATATCGCCTTTATTTACTTATTATATTGATTTTGAAATCTATAATTAAAATACGTCATGCTCGCGAAACAATATTCAACGAAAATTCATGAGTTTATGTTTTTTTTGGATTTTCATGCACATTTTTTGGTGAGTTGTTTCTGCAGTTTCTAGGACGAACAAGTCTTCTGTGACATTTGAATTGCTTATATTGAACTGGCTATCAAACTATATGAATTAAAATAAACCCTAAGTCAGAATAAAGTTTGTATGAGACGTTCGCTTCATTACCCAATATTCCCAAATACTGATTTTAGTTCAGAACTTAATTGTACAGTGAAATAATTCTACATACAGACACCATTATTAAAATAAATAATATAGGATTCGGACTTAGTTTTTTTGTCTGGAAACGAAAAAATTAATTTGCAAGCTCCCACCAGAAATAAAGCCTTAGTATAACAACATCTAGTCATATTTTATTATCTGAGTTGACTCACATCGTTCTGAATATGGCAACTTAATTGTACTAAGAATTTAGATATTAACTTTTCTATTGTTTAGATTTATGTTTATTGTCACGACCCTGTTTTCTTACTTGTTTTACGTTTAAACAGCCGGGAATATCAATGGATACCGTTGACAGTCCTGATCTACGATGTGGTATCGCACGTTTGGAATTAGATAGTACTAATGGCGGTGGAAGTGCCGGTGTTAATAGTAATGGAGAATGGATTAACGAATTGAGTATTAATAATAAACCTAGACCAGTTGGTACTATTCATCCTTCATTGGTACAAGGTAATCAAAACAGACTATTATGGATGGATCGCGCATCACAAGATACTATACGTTCATTGCATATACGTTTAGGAAATGTGTTAAAAGAAGCCTTAGAAATTCACAATCGTTTAAGTTCTCTCCTATCAATTCCATCTGTAGAGTAAGAAATTTTGTGTCCAATACATTAAACTCACTGACTGACTACTTCTTCTCAGTCTTCCTGTATACATGACTTTTAAAATTGATTTCTTCATAATTTAGTTTAGATTTCTTAATGTGCTATCGATTTGTTGTTTTCTTTTCTTCTAACATTAATGTTCCTTCTCTAAGATGATAAAAATTCCCCCCTAACAATAATACAAACATCTTCATTTTATTCTTTTTAATAATAACGGATACTGCTAGATGCCTGTTAGTATTTTAATCATCATCTATGCTGTTGTACAGTTCATGTAATTTACTTTGCTATACTGGTGAAATGTAAATTCTTTTTTCAATTAATTCATAAAATAAACAAGTATTATCATCACTACTATTCATTCGTAAATAATAATGACAAGGTCATATCCATTTATCTTAATGCATGATGTTTATTTTATTTCTCTTAATTAGTGTTTTTTATTCCCTGAGAATTTCCTCTCCTTTTTTTTCTAACTTTTATAATATAATTCCAAGATTAACTTTACAAATACTCCTTAATATAGTGGTATTACTTTAGATACAATGATTCGTCTTTAATGTCAATGAATTACTTAAATTTGATTTATTTCTAATAGTGAAATATCTGCAAGATATTTCTTATGTACTTCGTGTATCAATCGATTTGACAACTGTTATTAAAATAATTACGAGCGGTTCGTAATTTTCCCGAGGACGGTAATATAAAGTGGTAATTAGTTTATTTTCGTATAGCATATTTCAAACAACCATCATGCACATGATGGGAGACAATGAGGAAGTAAATAATTTGATGGAAATTATGAAGTAGATAAAAACAGACATGCGGTTTAAGCTACTAACATTTAGGCGAGTAAGGGTAGCTGTATTCGTGGGCATCGGAATGTAAGGGTACAGGTATAAGCAGATTCTTACTGACATAAATCATGGTGTTGAATTAATTATTCGGAGAACTTAGTTTATTACTGTCCTCCAAGCATCACACTTGATAGAAAGATGGATAATATAAAATAAACTGTATCAACTTCCTTTCCAAATGCTTCAGTGGAAATATACTATGTATCACTATACCATACAACTTGGTGTAAACAATGAATTACTATGTACCGTAATTCAATTGTACTAAGGTAACATAAAAGCTATGCAGAATTCAGATTCTTCTGGTCATTTTGCTTACAACAGCTAATCGCATACTGAGGTAGAACAAAACGCTCCACGAAGTTCCATGGCACGATGGTTGCGATACACCTCTTCCTACCATTGGTTCAAAGCCTCGAAACCTGTTCTCATCATCTCGTATTTTCGGAAGCATCAAGGCAGAATTAGCGAACCTTCTCAACAAGAATTATGGTTCAAAATCAAGTGCTCTGTATGTGACTACCCTACTTGTTGAGTCATTTCACTTTATTGTCTTCAAAAGATCATAATAGGCCTTAGACATTAAAAACAAGTATAAGTATAGAGTGAGAATAAGCCGTCTACTGTCTAAATGAACGCATCTCACTACATCGAGTACGTTCACCAGGCATTAGTTTTTGATACATTGGATCTTCAAACCACGGTTTTCCTCTTATATGATTCAGATTAACAGTACTTTTCAACAATATGATATGGAATGCTTAGAAGACGCATCATTGTTCTACCACGAAATATCTAGGGTGAAATAGATTAGAAAATATCGCACTAATCTGCATATTACAATCATTCTTCTGCAAACTTACTAACAGAAATTTTTGACAAAAACTAAGAAATCAAAAGTCTTTCGTAGTATATAAAACCGGAATGTTATTAATACTTGGAAAACAATGCCAACCATATAAAAATGATAACAAACACCGAAATAACAAAAACTTAGTGATTTTTGACGAGGAAAGTTAGAAAATGCCGAAGGTGTTTTTGAACATAAATGCTGCCACCAATTATTATAAAATATGTAGTTTTACTTTGACAAGATTACATTTATTCTTCACAAACGAACACCTCTCGTCTCATCCGTTTCATTTGTTGATATGAATCTGATTCAGGATAAGCGCTACGCTTACGATAAGGTCTGGTGTTTTGTTTTATCATTACAAAGTGTAATGAATCATAGTGCCCTGAAGATGAGTCTTCCTCATTTTCGGAAGCAACTTCGTCGTACACTGTTTTACAGTCATCGAAGGCAATAGCTTTACGATCGATCGTACTGAAAGCTAACGGTTCTATTGGCAAGAAATACAAAGGTAATTGTACCTTGTCAACTGGTTGAAATTCTTCGCGCTCAATTAACTCACAATCCATATTAGTATCAATAGAAAGTAAACTATTTTTATAAACAGATTCGTAGACAGTATATTCGTTAGATATTTCAACCATTTCACTTTCTGAAACCTTATTATCCATAATTGCATGATTTGAATAGATAACCTTCTGATATACTGGAACTACATTGGTGTGACAATTTGGACAATAAGCTATAGGTAATTCATTAGAACATTGTTTTAAAGTCGAAGCAATTGGATCATCCCGTTTAAATGTTTCTATATAATTTCCCGATTCACTTGATAGAGACTCAACAGACGACAAAAGATTAGTGTCAAAGTTATTAGATATTCTTGATTTTCGACGTTGCTGAACCCACCTTGACTTTTGAGTATCTATATTTTCTCGAAAGGGACGCTTAAAAGTTAAACTTGACCGCTTCGTTGTGCATAATAGCGACCATAGTAATGGCTTTTTCTTTATTTTCAGCTTATTCTCTACTAAAGCGCGTTGTGAACCAGAACCTTTAGAAAACCATCTCATTATCGACTAGAAAGATAAGGTCGGAAACAAAAAATTAATCATTATTTGTTAATTTTGAATTTTTGTAGTAACGAAAAAACCCCAAATGCTACCGAATATTAAAGCTAGTGCAGTGGAACGTGCCATTAGAATTAAAACTTAACTTGACTAATATCTAATTAGAGAGTAAATTTTTGACAGCGTAGAGAAAAAAATTAATTTACCCCCTTTCTCTAGGCTTACTGCTTTATATATTCAATCAAAATGACCATCAAACCAGAATTAATAAATAAACATTTTCATTTTATAAATAACCGATAATGGGACAGTAGAGGTAATAAGAGTACAAGCAGTAATCGGAAAGATTAGTGTTTGGAGATGTTACTTAAAGAGTATAATGCAGTGAAATAAACTTGGGAAGAGAAAAAAAGAGACAAGGGGGGATCAGGAGATCAAAATTTGGGAGAACACAAAGAGTGGATGCACCTGCGTCATTGCAAACGATTTTGAGCCATGTCATTCAAGGTCTCTAACCATCGGTTGCTATCATCTCGCGGTCCCCAACCAGGTAGTCTACACCTACCGACATGACTCAGTCCACTTGTCAGTGATTATATGGACTTGAGCCATGTTTTGGTCTGGCCGCCCCTAGCTTTCTTCCAACCTACTCCTATACCACTAAACATCGCACGTCGAGGCAGTCGGTGGTTGAGCATACGTAACACGTGTCCCAGCCATCTCAACTGATGGAGTTTCACCACTTCATCAATTGATTTGCCATCCTTACATAGTACCCGTTTCCTAACAACTGCATTACTTACTCGGTGGTCCCAGAATATACGAGCAATATTTCGAAGACTCCTATGGTCAAATACTAGTAACCTACGAATATCCTCTACTATTACCGGCCATGTTTCACTGCCATAAAGTAGGACGGAACGAACTGCTGCGCAGTAAACACGTCCTTTGGTTGATAGACGGATATTTATTTTATTATTTATTTGAGCACATAAATATTGGTATAAGAGAGCGCCAATATATATGCGCCACACAAAACAATGAAAATTCGAAGAGAGAAAAGAAAAAAAAACTAAGGAGCACAAAAGAAAAAGATAACGATAACGAAGAGATTGGTGTAAGGTAGTGTGGTCGTAACGATGGAACGGAAAGGTACAATCAGAAGAAATCTTTCAAGTAAGGGAGACACAACCACTTTTTATGAAGAAAGTAAAAGAAGGTTACAGCAGGATCGCCACTGGCTTCTATTCTGAGCCATATCTGATAACGTCTCTAGCCACTGTGTAGCACCATCTCTCAGACCCCAACCAGGGAGTCGTGAAGGACCGACAGAAGCCAGTCCTTTGCAGCTTTCTTTCATACCACGACACCATGTCATGCACTGACCACCTCTCCGCTTCTTCCAACCAGTCCCAGAGTCGGCAAATAATGCGCGACGTGGAATTCTCTGGGACGCCATTCGTAGAACATGCCCAAGACACCGAAGTCGGTGTTTCAAGATGGTGACACCAATTGAATTATCATCTCTGTGCCCGAACACACGATGCCGAACCTCTGCATTACTAACATGGTGTTGCCACTGAATGTCAGCAATCCTTCGGAGACAGCGATGATCGAACACAGAGTCATCTAACGTCCTCAACTCGGAGAGGCCAGGTTTCACAACCATAGAGCAAAACTGCTCTCACCGACGCGTTGTAGATCCGACCTTTTACAGCCAGACTGACATCACGAAGGCGCCAAAGGTGGCCCGGATTGGCATAAGCCGCTCTGGCTTTCACTATACGTGCATTGATCTCATCACTCACACCCCCACCAGCACTTATGCAGCTACCCAGATACACGAACTTCTCGACTACTTCTATCTGCTCACCATCCAGGGTGAGTACAGGATTGGAATCCTGCCAGTCTTGTAGAAGTACTTTGCACTTCGAAGGTGCAAAGCACATACCATACCTACGGACACGGACTGCCAACTGATTAAGTGCGGATTGCATGCCTTGGGCATTATCGACCGTTGTTGCTACCTTGACGTGGTGGTCGGGCTTGCCTATCGTGATGAAGCAACCGAGCTATACTGGCTGGAACAACCGTTCCTCAAGGTCCTACCATGTCAGACAGGTCGGTTGAAGAGCGGTAAGACTAAAAGCAACAAACCTAAGGTCCGAAGGCGAAGTCGTACTGCTGACTGTACAGAGGTGTGACAGCAGTAAGGTGTTTCCTTCAGACAACCAGCATGACAGCGATGCTGCCTTCCCACAAGGAGGGGTGGGGTTAGAAAAGGTCGACCCTAAAAATGCACACCTCACCTTACCTCACGGATTTCCGTCTCCGGCGGTAAGGCCCTTTGAAGAACGGAGCTAACATGTCCAAAACCTTCCACGGAAAGGCCGTGCGCGACCGGCCTCAAGCAGTTGTCCCTTGGGCACTGCGGTCACGCTCTCAGGTCGCCGAGACCGCCTCTAATCCAATTTCCTTTTCAGGTACCTCCAGAAGAACCCTTCCACGGTGTGGGCAACCGGGAAGTGATAACCGCCCTCATACCTCTAACAGCACCCATGACCACTGTATTCATAATCAACCTTCCTCTTCAATTCCTATTATTCCTCCTACATCGACTTTCAACCCTAAACTTCCTCCTTCGGCTTCTTCCTCAAGTGTCACCATAGCCAACGATTCTAGTGCTCAAAACTCTGTCCCAGGTCTACTGAAACCTCGCTCCAAACTACACATTGGAGCTTTCAACGTACGCACTTTATGTCAAATCGGTCAGCAGGCTTCCTTGGCTAAAACCCTAGAGTCTCTTTCCATTGATGTATGCTGTGTCTCCGAAACACGCATACAGGATTCCAGTGTGGTCATTCACTTGACCTCACCTCGGCAAAACGGAGAGCCGACGAGATACACCCTACGTGTATCTGGTGACCCGATGGCCAGTTCTCGTGGACTGGCAGGTGTAGGCATAGCACTAAGCATGAGGGCGGAACAAGCACTGCTAGAGTGGATCCCCATCAACAGTCGTCTATGTGCTGTTCGGCTAAACGGCTCCGTAAGAACTCGGAAGGATAGGGACACACGTCGTTGCCTTTTTGTCGTTTCTGCCTACGCTCCCACTGACTGCAGCTCCGATGAAGTGAAGGATGAATTTTACAGGAAGCTTTCTGAACTTCTTCAGAAAGCTAAACGCTCAGACATAGTACTCGTAGGGGGTGACTTTAATGCGCAGATAGGTAGCTTAAACCAAACAGAAAGGCATTTAGGTGGATATTTTAGCATTCCGGCACAGCGAACAGATAATGGTGATCGTCTGCTGCAACTGTGCTCAGACAATCGCTTATTTTTAGCAAACACAAATTTTAAGCATAAGGAGAGACATCGTCTAACATGGCGACCCCCTACACCAAACCAACGATGGACTCAAATAGACCATATTGCCATCAGTCATCGTTGGAGAGGGTCGGTAGAAGATTGTCGCTCATTCTGGAGTACCTGCTTGGACTCCGATCATGCCCTAATACGGGCACGCATCTGCTTGCGCCTCACCGGACGCAAAAAAGCCACATTAAAAAGACCAATTAGAACTGAATTGAGCAACGAGAAAACCAAAAATAGGTTCCAAGAACAACTGAGTTCACACTTAAGTAGTTCTGAACACGAGGCTGACCCAGATGTTGCTTGGAAAGACATACAAGCAGCTGTGGAAGCAGCAGTGACATCTATTAGCAACTTAAACCACAGAGTTTCAAAGAACCAGTGGATTTCTTCAAAGTCTATCACACTGATGGATTCTCGCAAATTTGTCCCATCAGGTTCCGAACATGATGAAGAGCGACAACAAATCAGATCTAGGTTAAGAAAAAGTTTAAGAAACGACCGTGAGCAGTGGTGGGCAACGAAAGCAAAAGAGATGGAAAAGGCGGCGACTATAGGGAACACAAGACAGCTTTACAGACTAATAAAAGAAACTGGAATTAATAAGTCAAGTGTAAGTGAGATTATATCGGAAAAAGACGATACTCTCATCTATTCCCAGTCCAGACGTTTAGAACGATGGGCGGAACACTTTAGAGAACAGTTCAGCTGGCCTTCAGCGACTCTACAACTACCCTCCATTCCCAGACAGCGTGAATGGAACATTGAAGTAGGTCCCCCAACTCTTGCTGAAGTTCAAAAGGCTATAGATAATCTGAAACGAGGAAGAGCAGCTGGACCAGATGGACTGGTTCCAGAAGTCTTTAAAGATGGTGGTCCAATTTTAGCGATTAGGTTGACTAATATTTTAGCTAAGATCTGGGAGTTAGACGTTATTCCATCTGACTGGTCACAATCACTTATCGTCCCAATATATAAGAAAGGGTCAAAATCATCCTGTGACAACCACAGAGGGATTAGTTTAACTAATATAATATCTAAAATACTAGCCTCGATAATTATCAGACGCCTAACTAAGACTCGTGAACTGCAAACACGAGAAAACCAAGCTGGTTTCAGACCTGGTCGTGGCTGCATCGACCACATATTCACCATTCGTCAGGTTCTAGAACACAGGCACACTTATCGGCGTCCGACGATGGTGGTCTTTCTTGACTTAAAAGCAGCATTTGACTCGGTAGACCGCGAGGTTCTGTGGCAGTGTCTGTCATTGAAAGGCGTACCTCAGAAGTACATAAACCTTGTGAAGGCTCTTTACTCGAACACTACTAGTCGAGTGAGAGCTTATGGCGAACTGTCATCTACTTTTGCAACCTCAAGTGGTGTCCGTCAAGGATGTCCACTTTCCCCATTTTTGTTTAACTTCATCATAGACCTACTGATGGAAATAACTTTCTCGTCGACTGAGTTCTCGGGTATTGATCTCTTTCCAGCAGGTCCACTTATCGACTTAGAATACGCAGATGACATAGTCCTGTTTGGTGAAGACGCTGACAAAATGCAAAGTCTTCTGGTTGCACTGAGCAACAATTCCAGAATGTTTGGAATGCGCTTCTCTCCCTCGAAATGCAAGTTGT